TTTGGGGAAGGCAGGTCAGTGCGGCTGCACGTGCGGATGCTGGAGATGGGAGGGAGAACAGATCCCTGGCTCCCTCCCCGGAGCACCTGCAGACCTCAGCCGTCAAGCAGCTCTCCGTCAGTCCCTTTCCAGGGCAGACGGACCCCTCCATCCTCGCCAAGTCCTGTGTTTCGGACTTTACTGAAGGATAACAGAAGGGAAGAGTCAGTTTAGGCTGGTGACCTGTCCTTCTCAGAGGGACTAATGCAAACGCAAAGTGGTTTCCTGGAGCGCTCTCACATTAGCCCACTGCACTAACACAAACTTTTTATGAGATTGTTTTCTTAGCCAAGGTGAAATGAATATATGGTCATGTGCACATACAACAACCGTTTCATCTGCATTACCTTACCTTTTCTTCTAACTCTTTTATTTGTCTTTTTTGGCCTTCAATTCTTTCTTCCAGCTCTTTAATTCTCTGTCAGATTTCAAATAAAAAAATATTTATTAACCAACCAAATACAGATGTACTCAGAAGATGCATTATTTTTGGAGATATAAATTGTATGTGCTGTGCTTCTAAAAAAAAAATAAATTGGGTTTTAAGCCATAGATGAGTCGTCTGTGTATGTCACTGTGTATGACAAATTCATGAAAATCGAAACGCCCAATTTGCAGGGATTATCCAAGGCAAATCAAAACCTGGCCACAGGACCAGCCATTTCTGGTACAGCTCTATGAGGAGATGCTGGTGCTCACAAGTTGATTACATTTCCATCTGAGGGACCGCCCCACCCCAAATCTCGTCGTGCCCGTGCACCGGCGCCTACCTGCTGCGCATGCTGAATGAGCTCCATCCTTTCTCGCAGGATTTGGGCGTCCCTCTCCCGGAGCTCGCTCATCACCTGCCGCTTCCATTGCTCTACAGCGCTCTTCAGTTTCTCTTTCTCCTCTTCTGAAAGAAGTTCGGAAATTTTGGCTCCAGCTTCTTGCTGCAGGGCATCATAGAGCATGGCTTCTAATTCCAGAATTTGCTAATCAAAAACAATATAAGGCTGTCAGCTTGACCTTCTCTGGTCAGATGAGGATTTTGTGAGGAACTGAAAATCCTACCCGGGTAAGGCAATGGGAGCGGTAGAGGGGTTGGTGCTGAGCCTCCCGCACAGGACAATGCAAAAAACTCAATCCAGGGGGAAAATACTTCAGGCTGCACTCATCCTGTGGGGCTCTCAAAAAATACACGGGTGTCAACTTCTCCTTTCTGAAGATGGGGAGGTGGCCGTGGGGAGAGAAGGCAAAAAGAAAAAAAAAGAAAAGGGAAAAGGGAAAGGGGAAAGAGGTTCATAATAGGCTCGTTTTGGGAGTTACAGATATTTTTTAAAGGTAACGTTCAGTCTCTGGGTTCACCTTTCCCAGCTATTCTGTTCGCAGCAGCAGAGGATACGGCAGCACCAGTTCATGCTCCTGCCGGAAAGGGACACCCTGTTGGGTGCTTGCAGCGTTTTGTACCGACTAGGTTAAAATGCCCCACGTGAAGGTATTTCCAGCACTTCCTCTGGCAGAGCTGTCAGCTCCAAGAGGCTTTCTGCTCAAGAAAAATGTATCTGGTAGCTGGGCTCTGTTCCTGCAGTCTCAGGCTGCAGAGCCTGTACTTCACTCCATCTGAAAATGTCTCTTGCACAAAGATGGATGTACCCTCCAGATTTATTGATATAGAAGTGTATAGGAAACGCACCGGCAACATTTCCGCGGGGTCACCGGGCCTGGTACCCTCCTAGGGCAGACAATGTCTTCTGCTTCAAAGTACAGCATAAATGCTATTCCTTCACGCAAGCCAGAACCAAGACAAAATCTTTTTTGGCAAATTTGATACAGAGCAAGAGACAAAGCAGCGAATGATGGCACCTTTGCACACCCTCTCCAAAGCTGGTGGCATCTTGCAGAGCTCTCCGTGGCTTCAGGAGAACAGGACTGCTGCGGCTTGAACATCTAGACAGGCTGTTTGAAAATGCGATCTGTTGTGGTAATTCAGCTCAATTCAAAATCGACAAGTTTTTCCACCTGAGGCTGCTCGTGGTGTTTTCTTACTATGTCTTAGCAGAGTCAGGACAGAAGAATACAAGCATTTACAAGAATAACAGCATCATGGCAGGAGTTACGGATACCGATAACTGAAAGACAGCAACCATGGTACCTCTGTGGGGAAGAGCAGATCATATCTCAGAAGATTCTGCTTTCACTTTTAAAAATAACGCTAACATCCTTGCCAACCTTAACTGTGTCAACAACATGCTGTTATTTGAAATACAGATTTCTGTTGGGCCCCAAACCTCAATTATACAACTGTTATCCCTCTCTGATTATATTGACTTGTGAAGAAGGAAGGGTGCAGGGAAATTCACAGTCTCCAGACCAGCAGCAGCATCAGGAGTCTCTGTGCGAGCCACGTGCTTCTTGGAGCAAAATCCCCTGCCAGCAACCAAAGGGAGTGAAAACCGTGCAAAAAGCTTAGCGGTTACAGCTGGTAATCTTGTTGGCTCTAGTTAACGGGGGAAGATTAGCGGTTCCTCATCTCAAGGGGCACAAAGGAAACATGGAAGTGAAACAAATTATAGAAATCAAAAGAGCTTTTGACACTTGAATTTCAGGGCAGAACAAAGCTTTCTTGCTGCTTTCAGGCTGCATTTGTGCTCGGGAGTAAAGCCCACCGCTTTGCCTGGAGACACGCGCGTGATGCATTCAAAGAACACAGGAGAACGCAAATAACCCTCAGCTACTTCTGCATGGGCTGCAACACGTTCATTATGCTCGTTCCTTCTCCACAACCTGCAGAGCCAAGTGGCAGGTAGTTGTTGGACCCTTTGGTAAATTTGGGATCCTGGAGCTGGAGATCCATCTCATGGATGGAGAGTGAGTGGCTGGCCACGAGCTGCAGGAGTGCCAAGCACACCCTAATCGACAGCCACGGCTCCGCGTCTGAGCTCTCCTGCAGACTCCATGACGTTACCAGCAGCTTCAAGCGATGCCATATGATTTTTCCCACTCTGCTGCTGTTGCAACTTTCTGCATACTCAGATTTATGGATCTGTTTCAGGACTTGCCCAAGACCCACAGGATCACCTCTCTCCGGGCTGATCTTTGAAGATGAATCCCACAGGCTCAGCCTTTGGCTGCACCAAACTGCTTCTCAGAGCAGCTCAAGGCTGCAGGAGATTATCTGCCATTAGGGCTGAGATGGCAGGTAAGAGAGGCTTGTGTACTTTCCAGGGTTTCCACTGTGCATAGACAGTGGTTCCAGACAGACCTCAGCATTTGGCAAAATCAGTCTTAAAAATCATCCTCACAGGAGCAGAAAGTGTACTGCGTAAAAGCTCCCCCAAATGGTTTGAGACACAAATAGAATCATAGAATCATAGAATCGTTCAGGTTGGAAAAGCCCTTTAAGATCATCCAGTCCAACCATTAACCTACACTACCAAGTCCACACTAAACCAGTCAAGGGCAGACCAGACTGAACCATGTCCCCAAGTGCCACCTCTGCCCGTTTTTTTGAATGCTTCCAGGGATGGGGACTCCCCCACCTCTCTGGGCAGCCTGTTCCAGTGCTTGACCACCCTTTCTGTGAAGAAATTTTTCCTAATATCCAACCTAAACCTCCCCTGGTGCAGCTTGAGCCCATTTCCTCTCATCCTATCTCGTCCTATCGCTAACTACGTGGGAGAAGAGACCAACACCCCCTCCCTGCCCCCTCCTTTCAGGTAGTTGTAGAGAGCGATAAATAGATAATAGGTATCCAGAAAAAGAGGCATAAATACTCATTGCTTCTCAGAAAGAGTAACTGTGCTAAAGATTTAAATGGAGCTGAAAGAACGAGATAAATCAATATGAAAATCTATGCATTTATGTCTTTCATGAGTATATATTGAACTTTTCTCTGACAGAAGGAAACAAGACAGCTGATGACTGAAGAGATGGTGAAATGGGTTAGGATCAGCTAATGATGAACCTGACCTAAAAGCAGCTTCATTTCAAATTTACAGAATCACCTAATACCTCCAGCTGTTTTGATTACAGAGGCTGTAATCTAAGATCTAAGGAAATGTCTAGGTCAAAATCTCTGTTTTGGAAGGAAAAGAGAAATTACTGAAAACGTCGTTTTCTTATCAGTAATTTACCAAAACCTCTGCTAAATTACAATTTGTGTTTAATAAATCAGTATTTAGGTCCTAATCCTGCAAGGACCATGCAAACACGAGGAACTTGGTTCATAAGGAGCTCACTGTCAGCTCAGGATATAGATTGTTTAAAATTCAGCCGATTTAGTCCTTGGGTCACTCCATGAGCGGAGAGTTTTTCTATAGAGAACAGACTACACGTATTACACAAGGTAAATTAATCCAGATGGCATAATTCCGTCAAGACTGGTTTCCCTCACCTTGTGAGCTTGGTCCAAGGACTGCTTCCTGAAGTCGAGCTCATCATCCAGGTATCCCTTTTGCTTGCTGAACAGCTCCTGGGGACACAAGGGAGGGGCGGTCAGTGCAACGGCCGCCGCCCTAACGCCACTGCTCCTCCTGCTGCCCCTCCCGCCGGCGCGCCGCCCTCCTCCCTCCGTACCTTCTCATTCTCAAGGTCCAGCATCTTCTGCTGCAGCGCGGACTCCGTCACTTCTATCTGCTGTAGCCACTGTGCACAAAAACAGAGATGGGGTGCTTAAGCCTAAAGAGCAGGGGCAGCACGCCTGCATATTCGGCTTTCACTGCGACTTTAGGGTGTGTCAGCACACGCTGCAAGTACTTATTTAAATTCACTAAATAAAAGAGGAAAAATTAACTTTATTATTACATGTTTTCTTTTGTACATATATTGGTGATGGAAAAAAGCATTATTTCAAAGCCTTGCCATTTACCTTCTAACATCATTTTGCTAATTAAGTAACATTTTAAAGTAAGCAATGTCTGTCTGTATTGCCTGAATGTTGCCTTTATTTTGACAAAAGCTAGTGTAAGTGCAATTCCACATAAAGAATCAGGGCATTTTGTGTTGAAACTATCATTTACATCACCAGTGCCTTCAAGTGAGCTATTCTGAGAGGGTGAGATGCTTTCATGACATGCATTTACTGAGTGATGCAGGATGCAGTTATTACCTTTTCAGCCAACGTGAGAACTGTCCTTGCTTGTATGACAATTACTTGCTCCTCATTGGTCAGATTCTGCACCAAAAGCAGAATATAATTACAACAAATCCCAGTGTCTTGTTATTAATCCACTACTTGGGCTACTGCTGTGTTAAATACATATGAAATCAAATACGATCAAGGAACAATAAACTCAGGCAAAGAAAATTAGTATTGTAACGCAACATTGTTGTAGAAACAATTGTAACTATTCATGCTGAACTGTTATCACACATATAGTTAATTCTTCTAAAATTTCCACATTTACCAAAAAAAAAGATGTTGAGACTGGATCTGCTTTTTCCCACCAGGGAATAAACACGCAGTTACACAAGACAAAATCAAGCTTAGCACAACGTGCCATTAAGAAAAGAGACGCACTCTTAAGTCTTCTGTGTTCCATTATACGCACAGCAGGTTAATACACAGTCCTTATTCTGCACAGCCAAAAGTCGTGATTTTGGCAAACACTTGTTAAGATGTTAGTGTTTCAATTCATGTTTTGGGTTTTTTTGTTGGGTTGGTTTTTTTTTTTTTTTTAAATGAAAATACCGAAACTATGTTTTGCATTTCATCCCAAACCTCGGTCTTACTCTGGCCGCATCTACAGTAGCAGAAGGGAATCCTTCTAGTTTGGGACCCATATTAGCTCGGATCTGGAGAGCCGAGCCTGACCCAGGGCTGTCAGGTGCAGGGGCATGGGCCGGGCTCCGTGTGTTCCCATTCCCACAGGGTGATTAGGAAGTCGGTGAGAAGGGTGGCTGCGGTGAACTTCAGTTCAATGCACACGGCTGGGGACAGTGAAAGCGCTGTCTGGCAGGGCTGGGAGGAGACCTGTCCTGAGGACCCCTGAAAATCGCCTCTTCCATAAATGTAAGTAATTTTTTTTTAAAATAAGTTATGTCACATTAAAAATGAAACCATCCCCATAGAATACTAGCGGTGTTCTTCCCTGTTCCGCGAGTTATGCCCTGACTCCCCTGTCTGTGGGGAAGAGGAGGGCAGTTCCTCAGCCCCCCTTTCTCTGTGCCCGTCCCCAGGGACCCCGTAGGCTGCAGGGGATGCATTGCACCCCTCTGACCCTTGCTGCTGCTCTGCTCCTAGAGGTTTGCCTTACTCAAAGCAACATTCAACTCATGACAGTTCAGCGGGAAGCAGCGAGAAGCTGCCAGGGGGCTCTACAGAAATGCACGTGCGAAAATGCTCAGGAAAGGATGGAATCACTTGCACGCAGGCGGGACACAGGTTTGCTTTCCCAGACTCTCTAACAGCCAGACATGAGAACATCACCCACGGGGCAGAGTCTGCCATCGGTGGCTGAGTCTGTGGTGCTGAACATGTGAAAACAAGGGAAAAAACAAGTGATAACAACGGTCTACAGTTATCTTAAAGCTATCTGAGATGAGAACTGCGAACTCCCCCTTGTGTCGCATCTGGAATTAACTTCTTGTATGTAACACACAAAAAAAAAAAAAGTCAGGAGGAAATAACATTCTAGACTAGATATCATTAATATAAGTAAAGAAGCCAAGAGGAAAAGAAAGGGAACAGAAAGCCAGAGAAAAGCTATCACTTTTCTGTTCCTTTTTGTCTCCAAGTTGCCTGTTTGGGATGCTGTCCCAAAACACTCTGCACCGACTAACCTGACATTAGTAATGCCATTGAAGACAACATTAGCACAGGCATTAGCAGATTAGTGGGTATTATCTTTCTGCACCTTAGTAGGACCAGTCTTAGCTCACTGGTGATTAAGCTTATGTGTATCTTTTTTTATTCTTTGCACACAAAAGATTTTAGGATTCTTCATATTTCTGCCAGTGTGAATATCATTAACTGCAGCAGTGGTGAAGATGGTTGGGCTGATGATCTCAGAGGTCCTTTCCAATCTTAACAATTCCTAGTTTTTACTTTCATTAAAAATAATCCAGATGCATAACTATAGGTATAATTAATCACTTCCGTTTGCTAATGGAGAAACACTTTCAATTTTCGTATTACTTGTTTCTTCTTTTCATGCTGCTGTTGTAATTTTTTATTTAATATCCTGTTTACTATTGAAGGTTTATGGGTTATTAGGCAAAATTAAAATACACAGCTGCTGGAATGCAAAAGCAAAGCAAATGCAGAGTAAGCAAATAAACCACCATGTGTGAACAGTGACCAGAAAAAAAAACCCACCAAAGTTTCAAAATATTTTCCAAATCATTGAAAATTTGTAAGCAATATTGTGACACCAAGATCCCACATGGCGCTGCTCAGACGGCTATTAACAAAATCTTAAAAAGCCAGAAAATGCTTAGCTCGTAGCCCAGTACTTTGGCCACAGGGCGGACAGGTTGTGCAGTAGCAAAGCAAGAAGGCTTTGCTAACATAACATGAGGACAAATATTTACCAAAGCATGCACAATTTATTAAAGGAACATACACTTACGGCGTTATCCCCTAAAATGTCCAATTTTTTCATCAGCTCTGCTACTACTATGTCCTGACAAGAGAGAAACGGAAAACCAGGAGTCAGAGCAGAGCGTCTGATTTTGTTTAGGGAAAGGAAAGTACGAAACGAGAATCCCTTACTGTTACACCTTCTGCCTCGCAGTAGACTTGGAGAGGGCTCTTCCCCTCTGTAAAAGGACCGTGGTGGAAGTTGATGGCAGGCGATCGTCTTTCTCTCTCCTGAAAGGACATTAATTGCTTGGTTCCCTACCACAGTATGATACAAATGGCAGCTTCGCCAAGAACTTGATAAATATGGCTCGAAAAAGGCTCACTCCAACCGAACACGCTGCAAAGCCGTGCAGTGGCTTTAGTTTGGGTGCACAGAGCACGGAAACCCTTCCTCCTGCACCCTGTAGCTGTTGGCACTAACAGCCAGGGGCAAGAGCCACTGCTCTGGCCAGACCGTGTGCGTTTGTGGGGGCACTCAGGGCTGACAGCGAAGACCTTCACCTCACTGCAAAGCAGCGTAGACATACGCATCCACAGCGCGAATATTTTCCCACCATGCTTCTTCGCTGGGCACTGATCATGACCGCTTACCTATTATTTTGACCACATAATATATTTGAACAAAACTATACACTTATACCCAGTATAATATAAATAGCATTTAATTTTTTCTTGTAAGTAGCTGCTTTGTTAATCTCTCTTTGGAGAATTTGGAAAACAGTTTCCAAGAGCTTATAGATTCTGTTCATACAGGTAATGATATGGAAAGCAGAAGGCTCAGTGCAGTAAACAGAGCAGTCTAGGCCACGCGATTCCTCCTCTGCAGGTTTAGCAAGAGGTGAAACACAGCAATGATTTTTGGCAATGAAAAAAAGTTCCTTTTTCTTGTTCTTTCCCACATATGATCTGTTCTGGTTTTATCTCTTTGCATTGTCAGAACAGATGGAGTACAGTAAAATGTGGATCTACTGCATGCCAGTGCCAACCTTCTGGATCTTAAAATTACTCAAGTAGTAAGACTGCCAAAACAACCTATCAAGAATACCAGTATTGATCCCTGGGTGTTTTCTGGTTTTTTTTCCCCTCTTTTTAGCACTTTGTACCAAACCCTTTGGCCTCGTTCAGGGCAATGCAGGTCTTCAGAGTAAACGTGGGCGAGTTCCCACGGCCACGGTGCCCCCGGCCAGGGCTCATGCAGCCCAGGTCAGGCAGGCAGGACCGTGGCTGCAACACGTGCTTACTTCAAGCTCCAAGATCCTGAACTCCAGGAGCTCGTTTTGATCCTTAACGTCCTGGACATCATGTTTTAAGCGAGCTTCCTCAGCTTCCATTTGTTTTATCTGCAAAATAAAGCAACGCGTGTTAGCACCGTTCGCAGGGCGTCACTCAAGATCTGCTGGGCTTTGGCCGCGCCGGGGAAACGCCAGGCTCAGCGCGAGCGCCGAGGGTCCGAGCCCACCCCTGGGGTCAGCACGAGTGGGGACTGCAGCGCCAGTGGGGGAACGCGGGGCTTTTCCCCACAACCACGTCCTGACACAGCCTCACAGCGGGACATCTTATGGGGCAATAGCGTTGTCCAAAGCTGACGCTGCTGGAGATGGCCGTTGCAAGGCTCTACGCTGACTACGCTTTTGTTCGCTGAACAGATTGTCCGAGAGCAGTCAGCGTGCCAGGCTTAAGGCTTTTATACAACGTGCTTTGGTTTAGTTAACAGATCGCCCGAGAGCAGAAGTCTAGGTGATGCATTACTGACTTGATCGGTAAACCATGAGAAGTTGCTTAAGATCTGCCAAGAAGGAAATGAGGGGAAAGGTAATTCCAGCGGGGGAGATCGCGACCACCGACTCACGAGCCCCCGACCGCAATTACACCCCAGACTCAAACTGAAGGACAAGGGAGCATGCTCATTAATTTAAATAGTAGGCGAAGAGATTTTAACCAGTCATGGCACTGCATATGTATTAGAGAATTAAATATAGTAATGAATGTCTATAAATAGAGGGTGACTGGATGATTCGGTGTGCTAGCTTTGTGGAATTGCCACCTAGCACCCAAACTTGTGCAACTTTGAGAATAAAACAGTATCTCGTCTCACTGTGTGAAGATTGGCTTATCCACACCGGGTAAACGAGCCCTGTTTGGGACAATAGGGAATGCCAGAAAACCACTTTTTCTGGAAGTTTTATAAGGATCTTGTTATTACATGTGAATTATTTCCAGCAGAGTTGTGCTCCTTAAACTACAAATACTATTTGAATAGTACAAATAGAAACACTGAACACCTTTTCTACCAGTTCTTGATTTCTTCTATACAATGCTTGCTTCTCCTCAATCCACTTCATGTCCTTGAAAAAGAAATGACCAATATTGTAGGTGAAGCTGGCAATGTTTAGCACAAACACAGTGGCAAGTATTTCATTAAGTCACACATCTAGAGAGGAGGGACAGAATAATACTGCACATGAAATTGTAATTCTATTATTTCCTATCATACGAAAGCTCACCCTTTCTGTCTTACTTTAACAGTCTGTAGCATACAAGTGGAATAGAAACACTCCAATGATTAAAAAAATGCTTTCAGATAAAAGATTGGTTTACATTAAAAGGGATATTTCTAGCTATGCAGTTACTATTAAATTTCAATTATACTGAATACAAATTACATATTTCTGAACACCAGGAAAAATAAGCCTTATTTTGGAAACTAAGTTCTTAGTTTGATGGATATATAAAAGCCACAAATCCCAGAATATTATTTATCAGTACGGTTAACAATAATGAGAGGTTAAGCTGGAAAAGTAACGATCAAATGACCTAGTATTATTTTAAAGTTCTCAAATAACGTTTTATGTTTCTGTGTTTGGTTTTCTGGTTGTTTGGTTGGGTTTTGTTTGTTTGTTTGTTTGGCTGGAAAAGTAAGACACAAGCTAGAAACAGCCTGGGAACACTTCCTGTATTTCCAGCTGGGGGTTGGATATTTGCAGTCTGCAATATTCCATTCTCAAGGCTAGAGGCGTGCCTGTTTCTTTATCACCTTCGGATGCCAGCGTGCAAGGTGGTTTTAAACTCTGTACTCTTCCAATTTAAGGTGCATTTTCCTTTTACCGCTTTCCTGTGTTACACCGTTTTCCGCACACCTCCAGGCTGTGTAAGGGCGGTGCCAGGACTGGCTGGTTCACCCCAGCCACGAGGAGGAGGGGGTTGCGGGCTGGAGTAGCGGTGCTTGGCTTGAGTTGCCACCCCGCTGCCAGGATGCTCCCGATGTCGGAGGTGTGGATGTGGGCGCAGGATCCTCCTGCATCCCAGGGACTGCGCAACTGCAGTGTGAGCGCTCAGAGCCGCTCAGCTCTGCAGGCAGGGAAGCAGGAACTCCCGACGCCACAACGCCTTTTCTGTTCGGGGAACGTGATGAGGGAGAACTTTCTAACACCAGCTAGGTAAGGACGTGTGTGAACGGCAAATACTTGGACCTCAGCACGGCAGTCCAAAGGGATCCAAATGGCGTGCAACAGCCACATGTGCATGTGCAACACGCGGTCTGTGCCAGGGGCTGTGTCACCCACCGAAAGCTGCGGTGGCACCCAAACCTGCCAAGACCTTGAGCGGGGCTGGCTTTGCAGAGTGAAATCCCAAGGTCAGACCAAGGTGACAGAGTGCAAAGCCAGCCCTGAATGAGCCAGTCATGCAAAAGCAGACACCTTGCAGTGAATTCAAATTAAAGAAATTAAAATTACCAAGTGTAAGCCCTAAAACATCAAAGCAAAAAGAAGACATCTTAATAATGCCTGATGGGTTGAAAAAGACAGCGCTCAATGTCTATTGATGTTTGGCTGAATGTGATATGCTTCATGTTAATCATTTACACTAAATTTCCTAGAGTGCAGTTTCATAGATTATTCAATTGTATCTCAAATTAATCCTTTCTGAAAGAACGACTGAGATGATTTGACAAGCCATTGCATGAACAGGCTGCCCGGTGAACTACACAAACAGCTGAACTGGACACTTCAAATAGCTCTAATACACAAATTTGCTCTGCCCCTTCCCTTGAAATGTTTAACCACTTTCTAATTTAACACCCGCCTTTCTCCTTTTAAGAAAGTAAAATCTTGTGGAGCTACAAGGAAAGCTGCTGGGAAGGAAAGCTTACTTTTACATTCACTAAATAAATGTTTCGTTAGAAAATAAATATAATTCCTTTATTTTACCTTCCCAATTTTCTCCTAGGTATCAAAAATAGTGGTAGTCTGTGAGGTTTTAGAGGAGACCAACTTCTTGCCAAACGCAATTGTTCCCTCTCTTTACCATAATACTTTCCTGGCATTTATATGCATCTTCAAATTGACAAGGGAACTGACCTGTTATTCACTGATTTAATTTTCAGGAGATGCATAATAAAACACCAGAGCGCAATGTTAAGCTCGGGACAGTAAAGGGATCGAGGAGGACTAATGGCACGGCGGTCCGCTGGATGCAAAGCAGACCCTGTGCTTTGGGACTTCAGGCAGTGACGCTCAGCATGGGAATTCATTTCCTCTCTGCCTGTGGAGAGAAATTCCCAGTGTCCTATAGAAACGCTGCACCTGGTTTGACTTCACAGCTGCACGCGTACCGAATTCAGGCACTCCTTCAGCTGACTTCTGCCTTCCCTTACTGTAACACCTGCGCATCACGGATCCTTTCACGCAGGCATCGTCCGCGGCTCCCTCCGTTACGCTGGAGCAAGCGAGGCGTTTAGGCTGAGACCGGCAAAGATCTACGGGGCTTTAGTGGGCGCGGAATTCAGGAGTTGGCTCGGAAGCACTGACAGGGACCTGGGGCTTTGGGGACTGATGTTTGAGATGCTAATGCACGAAAATGTGGAGCGTGGGCTGTTTAAAAGCCCTTGCATGCCTGACTCTCCTCGAACCCAACTAGACCACATGTATTAAGTGCTTTCCTTTCAATTCATTGGCGCATTTATTGAAATAGTACTCGGCAGGTTGCAGTAGTGCCTCCTCAGTCAGGGGTGCCGTGGTGACGGGGGTTGTACAGGGAGGGTCACCGCAGCACACGCTGACGGGAACGCCGATTGCTTCCCTAGTGTGTCCGCTTTGTAGGAAATGAAACAGCTCTTGAGAAGTCGCATCGGGATTGTTCTATACATAGATAAACACTCACTAGCATCTGCAGTATGACAGGGTGACACGAACAGGCACCTTTGGAGAGCCCCCTCCCGCCCCCAGCACGACGGCTGGAGCACGGGCCGGCGCTTGGCCGCGTGCATTACCTGCCCCTGCTCAGCGAGGGCCTTCTCCAGGTCTTCTATCTGAGCCTGAGACCGGTGTATTTCTGCTTGGAGCTGCTCACGTGTCTGTAGGAGACGAGGGGAAAAAGAAAAAAAACAATAAATCAAACTTTCTCTACAAGACAAAAGCTAACACAGGTGCAGAAAATACTTAAAACATCAAATACTTTTAACAAATACTTTTTAAAGTTCATTGGCAGAATGAATTTGCAGCTAAGCACATAACATTAGTCATTAATGATAAAAAGAAGTCTGTAAGATAGGATAATAATTTTGAGACTCAAGTCAAGATTAACATTAACAGCATCCCATTAGGCAGACAGGAGGACAGCAAAACATCAGTGGCTTCTTACAGCTGGTCATGACGCCTGCAGTGAGCAGCCTTCCCTATTCTAGAACAAGGTGTTTAAAAAAGCCAGGGTAATGGAAAGATTCACTCCTCCATGAAGACAAATGAAAATTATTATGCCACAATTCTGGGCACACTTGATTCCTTTAAGTTTTTGATGAGCTAAAAAGCTCAGAACCGACCTTACATATGTAACATGACAAACTGGCAAACTGCGCTCCTCCTTATCCATTTAGTACCCTATCTTATGGTCTTACTGTATTGTGTGGAATTTTTTACTATACCTGTAGCTTCATGCTTATTTAAATACACACCGCCTTCCTACATGTGTTTTCTGGAGAATAAATGTCATTATTATTAGCTGTTTTATTTGTTAAATATTGTCTTATAGAACATTTTCTTTCCTCAAATGATTTATCTGCTATTTATCTTGTTATTTACAATGAAAACTATCTTATTTGTTTGCATTACCTGCGTTGTTCCCTCTTCTTGTCTCACTACGGAAAAAGTAAAATCAAGTAACTTTTCAAGTTTGGCATGTCCTGTTCCATCACGATTTTCTTCACATGTGCAACCCCTAACACTTCAGAGCAGAGCGTGTGCTTCTGGGAACATTATTTTTAATGCAGTTTGAGCATTCAGAGAGAGTGAGATGATCTGATTGCCAAACAGGGAGGTTGCTGGGAGACACGGGATGCTGCTAAATCTGGGTGGCTGAGAGGTACTCACCAGTGGAGACAGTGGTGAAATTAGAAGTTTTTTAATTATTCAGTAGAAGAAAACCAGAGTAGTTATATAGCTAGGAAAGCCAAAATATTACTGTGATGACGGACTTCAGCTAGAGGAATTTGGCCTTTTGTTTTGTGTCCAGCCGGGGTGAGGGACCTGCCGGCGGCTGGGACAGGCGCAGCGGGGCGGTACG